TGACATTGCCTAAGAAATGACCATGGGTAGTAGCTCCTTTGGGTAGTAGAGTGGGATGCTCAGTTTTACCGTAGTTCCTCAGATTCCAACCCAGTACGACTTTGTATCATGTGGGTAGCTATGTTCAATGTCCTCCCCATCCTTTTGGTTCATAACAATTTGGAAAAGGCACATTAATAAATCCACTAAATGTAGAGTTTTTTTGAATCAATTCTTGCCATGTGTTATCTATTGGCATTCAAATTTATTTAATTAGTAGGCTTTAATTTGCTCTAAATAGAAAAGCCAGGATTCAGAGCAAGCATCAGGTGACACTAATGTTAGTCTAATTGGTCAGATCTGTGTTAATTATCAGGTAACTTGGCTAAATAATACAGCCATTCATAGACAAGGACAAAGTGACTGTGAAAGTCTCTCTTAACAAGGCCTCACTTCTCTAGAGGCACTAAGCAACCCTTAGAGCCACAACGTGTTATTTACTGCCTCTTGTTAGAGATTCTATTTTTAGATGGAGGGTGAGAATTGAAGATCCGGATTTAAGGTTAGAAGACACCAGTCAGCAAGATGCATAAGAGAGGGAGATCAGCTTCAAGGGTTTGGATGATATTTAGGAAGGAAATAACGAACATGATGTACTTTATTCTTGAATAATAAATTAATCTTGTGAAAGGCTGAGAACAATCTAGTTAAAATCCAAATCACTTTCAAGGACAATACCTCTCTTCTCACCACTGTTCTTATTGTGCATAGCTCTTCTGATTTTTTTACCTAACAAACTATATGTGTTTTTTTTCCCCTATGGTATTTATAGTAAAATGTTATTAATCATTCCTCCAAAACTACTTGTCTAACCTTACAATTAAACCCACTAAATCATAGATCACATTTTAACTTTCTTATGTGAGGAGGGAGATGATGATTAGATTGATATTGAGAAGTATCTGCAGGGTCTAAGTGGCTGTGTCAAAGTGCCCCATATAGGATGGAAGGAGGGGCCTCTTTCATAGAAATACACACTGGGAGGGCATGGTATGCATCCATACCAGCATAGCCTCACCGAATTTCTTACTCCAGAGCGGAACTCATTCCGTAACCTAACTTTAGGTTTTTAGGATCATTAAAAGGAAAATATGGCCAGGAGAGTCAATTTGACTCCCTGCTTGCTTTTGTGTAATCTACAAGCTAAGAATGATTAACTTTCAAATGATCAAAAAATATCAAAAAGGGTCTGGGGATAAAGCTCACATGGTAGAGTGTTTGCCTTGCATGCATAAGGCCCCGGGTTTGATACCCAGCACCACAAAAAACCAAACCAAACCAAAACAAAACAAAACAAAAAATATCATCAAAAGAAAAATAATACTTTGTAACACATTAAGATGACATGGAATTCAAATTTCAGTGTTTGTAAATAAAGTTTTATGGGAACCACATACCCATCCACTGACATCTTGTCTATGGCTGCTTTTGTAGTGCGATGGCAGAGGTGACAGTCATTGGGATTGAGACTGTATGGTCTGCAAAGTCTAAATATTTGCTCTCCTGCCCTTCACAGTGAAAGTTTTTCCACGCTTGCTCTAGAGGCGAATTTTCATTCTCATATCCACTTGTCTTCCTGGAATTTTCAAAGGAATTCCAGGCCCTTGGTAACAATTTTCTGACAATACTTCTTTGACTAACAATTGAGTATCTACTTGTTATTGAGCCTGCTGGTTTCAAATAATTAGTCATGACTAATGAATTAACTTTACAAGGCACTTTAAAGCCTTCTGCCTCACTTCTAACTTGTCAGGGGTACATCTTACTTCACAACTAGAATCACTCATTTTATTAGATATTTTACTAAACTCAGAAAGAATTTCATAATATTATGTTATCACAAAATGATATAATTTTAATGACTTTGAAAAGCACCTTGAGAGATCTTGGAGAATGATGAGAACTGAGTTTGTAGTGGGCGAATCTACATTTAAGTCATTTATTTTTTTAAAACATGGACTGAACGATAAATTACCTGGGGATTGTGCTACACCATTGACCTCTGTCTTTCTTTCTTCTTTCTCTGTCTCTTTTCCTGCCTCTCTCTGTGTTTCTCTCTCTCTCTTTTCTCTCTCTCTCTCTCTCTCTCTCTCTCACACACACACACACACACACACACACATATCACACTCAACAGCTAAAATCCAAGCTGGCTAATCTATAGACATTAATAACTGTTATTCATGCAATACAGAATGTTTTTTCATAATATAAATCAGTTGAATTTTTACTCATATGCCAACTCTTGCTTATCTTGATTATTAGTCATTCATTAAATGTGGGGAGAGCAACAATCTCATGTTTAGCATGAAATTAATAACAGCTATCTGTTATCATCATCATCATCATCATCATCATCATCATCCAACTACTAGAACACTGTTTCCTACTCAATGACACAACTGGAGAATCTTTTGGAGATTAGATTTCCAACTGGTATAATGCATTTCTCATAAAATCTTGGTCTCTACAAAACCAAAAAAAAAATGTAAGATGTTTTTCATGGTGCATTTAGAGAAACTGAACTAATAGAGAAATAAAATGTGTTGACATTGAAGTTTTGAGAGAGCATCATTGCAGAGGACATAGATTGATGCTCTGTAGTTGGATTTGGCCAACAGATATTGTTAAGAAATAAATTGGGATGTTTTAGGTAGGGCATGTACTCTCAGGTTTTCTATGGTCTTTACTATGCTCTATTGCTTTAACATTTTTTTCTTATCCTTAAGGCATTTGAATTTGTAAATTTTGTAAATTTTGCTTAGAAAACTCATTTGATAAATCCATTAGAATGGTGTTTGAAGAAGTTTGGTTATGTTTGTGTTTGGGTGTATGTTTGTCCATATACATGAAAATAATAAGCTTTTGATTTGATGCTTGGTTCTAAGTTTCAAAATAGTATTTTTCAAAGACAGCTCAACTAGAAAGAATTTAAAACAATTTCTGTAGTATATTTCTCTGACTAGTAGTTAAAAAAACCCTCTCCCTCCTCCCACCTTTTTTTTTTTTTTTTACTATTTACTATGCTCAAAAATAAAATTTGGGCATTGGCTAACAGAAAGCTGGTATTCTTTTGGAAATGTGTGCCTTCTTAGTCTATTTGGGTTTCTGTAAAAATACTACAGTGTTTACTTTGATGAGGGAGAAACTGGGTAGCTGATAAATAAAAGAAATGTATTTGTCACAATTTGGAGGCTGGGAAATCCAACAGCAGGGTCATAGTTTCTCCTTACTGTGTCCTGAGGGTAGAAGGATTAAGAGATCACTCTCAGCCCTTTCTTCTAAAGACACCCATCCCATTCATGATCACTCCACCCCCATAACCTGATCAACCTCCCAAATGCCCCACCTTGTAATACATCCCATTGGAGGGTAGAATTGCAACATATGAATTTGGGGGAATAGAAGCCTTCAGTCCATAGCATTTGGGTTACATGAATTCACTCTCCTGATCTGAGGGTTTCATAATGCCCTTTAGGAAAGGAGCAGAAAATTTTCCTGTCTAGAGAATTTTGAACACTAGCCAGAGTAAGTGAATGTTTTCTGGGAGAACAATGAGGCTCAGACTTATTATGTAGACATCCCCCTAAATCCCTGTGAGACATAGTCATTTTGTTCCAGAGGCCATGGATAAGTCTGATTTCTTTTCCAATCATCTTTTGTGGGATAGTCTGAGAAAGTGGAAAATCTTTGAGTTTTTAATGATAAAAGAAGAAATGGTTGGATAGTGCCAGATACAGTATTAAGACTGGTAAGAAAAAGTTTAAGAGATTACATAATGGTTTCTGTAGCCAGGAATGATACAATGTAGTATTCAAGAGGGGAAAGAAACTATAAATATAGACCAAGATCATCTTAGGGCAATTCAGCAATACACTTGTCCTCTGTAGGACATGGCCACAAAATCAGATCCAACAATGACAAAGGTATCCCTTAAACAAAGGTCAGTTAGTGCCACTTCCCTCTGAGTAGGGAGCTTGAACTTTTACTTCTAACCTTGACCTCCATGTCTTTGGGTCTCTAGCTTCAGTCTGGGCCTGCTGGGCTCTGGTCTTCTTGATCTTTGGATTACCCAGTCTGGCCCTCTTTCTCCCCATGTGGCATTACAGAGAGCTAACTTTGATCACACACTAGGCAAAGTTCTAAGGTAGATGAAAAGATAGAAACTCCTACTTTTTTGATGTTTACAGCAAAAGAGAGAAAGCTACCTATAAGTACTAAAATAGAGACAAATGCAAGGTATTAGCAGAAAATGAAGGCGAATTCTGTTTTTGATATTTTCACAGCCAAAAGTATTCACAAACATCTCACTTGAATCTTCCCATTTTCCGGAGAAGCAGGCTGTATTTGTTCTTATTGAAAGGTGAAGATATGGAGGCTTACAGGTGAAAGAAGAAACAATGTGTGGAAGAGTAAAAGCGTTAAGTGTAGTGAGATTGGAAGAGAGTGCTAAAGAAAACAGGAAAGATTTCTTTCTATGTTTGGATCAAAAGGCCCACTCTTGCAGGATTTAATGTGAAAATGACAGAAAATAGAAATTACTAAAGCCCTATGTGGCTTCTATATCTTCTTTTAAAAAGAAATAAAAATTCCTTAACTTTCAATTTCCTGAAGACACCAAAAAACATCTCTGACAATGAAAAACAGTAAGGAAGACAATTCTTTCATAAGTAGGAAGATGAAAGTGGTATATTTTTTATTAGGTGTTCTGGTTTGGATCTGGGGTGTCCTCCCAAAGCTCCTGTGTTAATGCAGGAATGTTCAGAGGTGAAATGAGTAGATTATGACAGCCATTACCTAATCAGAACATCCTGATTTGAATGGACTAAGTGGGTGGTAACTATTGGCAAGTGGGAATATGGTAGGAGGAGGTAGGTCACTGGGGGTGCACTTTGGGGGTTTATATTTTGTTTGTGATTCTTCAATTCATTCTCTCTCCTTCCTCACTACCATGAATGAATAGCTTTCTTCCACTATACCCTTCTGCCATGCTGTTGTTTCTCACTTCAGAACAATGAAGCCAGCCTACCCTGGTCTGGACCTCTGAAATTGTGAGTCAAAATAAACTTTTCTTCCTCTTATTGTTCTTTTGGGAATTTTGGTCACAGTGATGAGAAGCTGACTAACACATTAGGTTTTTAGGGGTCTATTCTAAGGCAGGTCTTTAAATATGAATGCCTTACTAGGATTGAACAAAATTTATGACATCATTGTCTGGGATTGATGGCAAGGTGGTTTTGAAAGATAAACAATCATATGATGAGTCTAGTTGGGACATCTATTATAAGAAGGAGGGCTACAGTGTTTACTTTGATGAGGGAGAAATGGATTTTCTCATTGTTAGGAGAAATGGATTTTCAGAAACTTGCTGAAGCAAACAAAAGAAAACACGCAAGTTCATATTCCTGGAAAACTTGTTGGCAGAACTTTCATGGAATAGTCAAATGATATTAGTGCAGACAGGCAAATAGTTAAGTTGTGTTAATATAGATGGTGTTGCAGATGGTTTCCATTCTGAATTCAAGCAGGGAAAGTAAATAATCTCATTAAGAGTAAATATAAATTCAAGATAAATAAGGAAAATAAAATGAAATTACCCACATTTAAAAGGAATTCAATTCTTGACAACCCAAAGAAATTTTAAATGTTTTCTTGTAGACATATAAACTTGAACATGTTTATATCTTGGGATCCAAGATAAATAAAACATGGAGGAAAGCACAAAGTGCTAGAAATGAAAGTTGCCTGTGTTTTCAGAATAATAATCATGTTGCTTCCAAAGGTGCTTTCTCAGAGCAAGAGCCAAAGTCCTGACATTGACCTGAAAGGTTCTAAGTAGAGATCTGAATTGCTGATACCCCATGGATCTCATTTTCTGAAATCTTCTGTTCCATTCCTCCCCTCAGCCCCACTGTTATCCCTTTCCTTCTGTGAATGTCAAACAAGATCCTGCCTCCCTGTGCCTAGAGCATGTTTTCCTCACCCAATGAAGGTGTTTGTTCAAATATTACTTTATAAATGAGTCCTTCTCTAATACTGTAATATACAAGGTGATTTTTATCCTTCTTGTCCTGTGTGTCATGTTATGAAAAGTCTTGTTAATATTTTACTTTGACTTTTCCTCTGAGTTAAATATGGAGCCTTGAAAGATTTTGAGCAGAGGAGTGATGTAATGAACAGATGTTTCAACAGAATTCCTCTGAACTGTAAGGGGTGGAATAAATATAGAAATGGGGGGGGGGGTCCATTGAAAAGACTATTGTAATGATCCATGCCATAGGTAATGGTGACTCAGATCAGGTTGATAGTAGTTAAAAGTTATTGGATTTTAGATATATTTTAAGGAGGAGCCAATAAGATTCTCTGATGGATTAGAAATAGGATATGAGAGAAAGGGGGGAGATAATTTCAAGAATTTTGTCCCCAGTAACTGTAGAAATATGGTATGTACTGAGATGAGGAAGCCTGTGAGTAGAGAAAGTTTTAGGGGGAAGATCAGTTCAGTTTGGACATATTGAGTTTGAGATGTCTATTAGGCTTCCAAATGTCAATGTTGAGTATCAGTTGGATATACAAATCTGGAGTTCTGAAGAGAGGTCTGGATTTTCAACATAAATTTGAATGTCATTGGCATATAGATGGTGTCTTAGCCTGAGTTTCCCAGAGAGCAGAGCTTGATGATAGTAGGAGGTACCAGTACAGAGAGTGGAAATGAGGGCCAAGGGGAGTCGGGTGGGGAGGGAGAGAGAGCCAAAATGAAACGTGTTACCAATCTGCATTGCCTCTAGATGAGACTGACTGCTAGATCCTGGGAGCTGTCTTACAAGAAATTATTGGAAGTACATTTTAGAATAATTTTCTGGGGGCCATGTTAGTTATCTTGAGTTTCCTTAACAAAATACCATGGATTGAGTGGCTTACACAACAGCAATTTATTTTCTCTTAATTCTGGAAGCTGGAGGTCCACCATCAGGGTGGCAGTGTGATCAGGGTTCTGATAAGGATGCTTCCTGGTTTGTAGATGGCAGCCTCCTGGCTGTGTGTTCACATGGTAGAGAGAGCTCTGGTGTCCTTCTCTTTTCTTATGAAAGCACCAACACTACTGGAATATGGCCCCACTCTTATGACCTGATATAATATTCATCACCTCCTCACAGGCTTTGTCTCCAAATACAGTCACACTGGGGGGTTAGGGCAATTAGTCCACAGCATTCCTTCATGGGTCCTTCAATTCATGCCCTTCACACATGCAAAATATGTTTGTTTCATCCCAATAATCCCTAAAGTCTTAACTCACAATCGACTCTAAAGTCTAAGGTCTCATCTAAATATCATCTAAAGCAGAAATGAATAGAAATCAAGGTATGATCCACGCTAAAGCAGAATTCCGTAGCAGGGGGAAATGGGAGGATTCATCCATAGGCTCCAGTCTTTTTTTGTGGAAAAGGTCACCCCCTACCCAGCAGATAAATTCTTTTGAACTTCCAGGTTGTGAGTCCCTGGATTTCCATTGGGGCCTGCTGCTTAGATGGAGATGGAAGTCCTTAGTGTGAGGTTAAGAACCCTATGGGGGGGCTGGGGATGTGGCTCAAGCGGTAGCGCACTCGCCTGGCATGCGTGCGGCCCGGGTTCGATCCTTATGGGACATGGAAGGCTCTGTCACATAGTGCCTGGGGGAATTTTTTTGGAGCCCATGTAGAGCTGGTTGCTGGAACAAGGAACTGTGAGGCCAAAGGGATCTGAAATAGTATGTCATTTGGCAGGAGTAGTTAGGAAAGAGACTTCCCTACTGGCTCCCATTCCTTAGTCAACCTAAAATGCCTATGTTTCAAAATATTTCTTGTATTAGCTTATGATGCTGGAATTGATTTTAATATGGAACAAAACCTTATATTCCACAATAAGGAACATAAGTTTCAATGACACATTGATATATAAAGACATATATGGACCCAAATTCATTCACGGAAGAGAACTCAAAATCAATTAAGGCACAATGACCTAAGGGCAGATCCTTTGCTGATCTGATGGAAAGAAGGGGAAGTTAAAAGGCATGGACACTGGACAGGGTCAGGATCCCTACTAAAGGTAGAGGAAAGAGATGAAATTCAATCAGCAAACATGGAGCTCTCCAGGATTCTTTGTTAGGCAGTTGCTTGCCTGGGTCCTGGAATATAGCAGGCTGCCAAACCAACCAGCTTCCTGTGTACTGGGGTCAGGACTGGAGGAGGCAACAGACATTCAGCAAATACTCAAATGGAAACTGAAAGGCGAGTGACTCACCCGAGATGGAGATTCAACCAAGAGATTTTAGTGGGGGGCTGCCTGAAGGGGAAGAAAAGGAGAAGCAGAGAGAGGAGGAGGGCAGAGAGAAAGAGAAAGAGAGTAGAGAAAGAAGAGGAAGAGGGCAGAGAGGAAGAGGAAGAGGGCAGAGAGCAGAGCTTGCAAGCTTGGGTTTAAGAAGAGTCGCATAGGTGATGTGGCAGGTGCTGATTGGCAGGGAACTGCGAGGGGACACTGTGTCCTGTGGGGATTGGTTGAGAAAACCTTTGAATTTGGCGCTCTTCTGCTTGGTGCCCTTCGGAGAGGATGAGGAGGGGTAAGGGATTCCATGATGTTCTCACGAGATCGAAACTTAACTTCAGCGGGGAGTCTCCCACACACCCAACAGGAACTATGTCAATGAGGTAAGTCTTATGTAGAAATGTCAAACAGGAGTAGAAAAGAGTGATGGAAGGGTATTTATTTAAAGTAATTGAATGGTGAGATAGGTGGAAAATGGAGGCAATGAATTAGAAGGTGGTTATATGATGAAGGAAAACAGGAGTCTTTTTTTTTTTTTTTTGATAGGTTGATCGATTTAGCAAGCACTATTTATTTCACAGCAATACTTAGAAGGTGCAAGGAGGTTTTTTTTTTTTAAAGTTTATTTGGTTTTATCTTTTGAGACAGGGTCTTCCTCTGTTGCATAGGCTGGTCTGGAACTCAGGAGCTCAAATGATCCTCGTGTCTCAGCCTCCCAGGTACCTGGGACTACAGGCATGTGCCACTATCCATGGCTTTCACAAGGTTTTGTACAGTCCCAGTTTAAATGGGCCTTGCCCTAAGGCAGTATGTGTTCCTTTGCTCATAATATTTCCTGAAGCCTTGGCACTGTTCCAAGTTTTCAATCTCTGTAGGTGAAAAGAGTCACTCATGCTGACACTAGCACCCAGGACTTAACTGTGTCTGCTTTAATGAATCCTCCTTCCTTTATACCTCAGGGCAAGGTTTGTTCTTCTTGTCAGTTTGAGTCCCATTATCTGAGTGTCCTTGTTCATAAATGATCCACCTCTCCTGTTTTGTAAACATCTCCTTTTCCATTGAGTCTTTCTCTTTGCTTTTAGAAAGGTCTGAGTCTTTCTCATCTTAAAACAACTCCTCCTAAACCTGATGACAGGCTACAGCCATTACCAATGACTGTCTTTTTGGTTACAACCCAGCCTAGAACTGTGTATATTCATGCTCTGTATCATTCCTATCACTTTTATCCCCCATAAAATCTGGATTCCATACTACCTCTCTACACAATTCTTCTTCCAGTTCAATGATGAATTGTTCTTTGCCCAAACTGGCTCATACCTTTTGTACTTCATTGTATGCAAACTCTGAAGTATCTTAATAATTCTTTCTTTTTCTGACCTTGCAAAGACAATTTTCCTGGTGTCCTTTCTTTGGAGTTGCTCTTCAGTTTTCTTTGTGATTTTCCATCTGTCTAAATGTAGATGTTCTGTAGGATTGAATTTCCCAGCCAGCATGAAGAAATGAGCCCCTCAGTCCTTGCCTGTGTTTGTTGCCTGCAGATTTGAGCTGCTTTGTTTATCTGTTTATTCCAGTAGGATGCACACATACCATCAATGTCTATGTACCTTGTCATGGAAAAAGCTGGAAGGCAGTGTCCTGGGATTCCATCTTCAGCCCTCCCCATTTTATTTTCTAGATATTCTATAGTGATATCATTCACTCAAGCACTCCCCGTAGGGAGATGAATTCTAAATTGCTATCTCCAGTTTTCATTTCTCTGTTGAGCTCTAGATCAATATGACCTCACCAAACACCTCTCCTTGGATGATTCTCAAACTTAACATGTCCAATATGAAACCTTTTATCTCTAATCTTGTTCCTGTCAGTGAATGATATCACTAACCACATCTGAATGTGGAAGCGATCCTTCTTATAACTCTATTACTTTCATATCTAATCAACCATCAAATCTTTGTGGCTTTGGTTGTGTTCCATCATGTCTATCTTGCTTGCCATCATTCTGAAGCTACTGTAGTCTAAGTCTTTTGAATTCTTTACCTGAACTACTATGGTAGATCTTATTGTTGGTCAAACATGTGCAGCTCTTCCTTGCAGTTCACTTTCTTGTGATGAGCCCCACCGCCTTGTGAGAAGATTAGACATTCTGGCTTCAATGAATTCAGAGAAGGTGGTCTAGGATTTGCTTTGGCTAGAAGAAGTACAAATGAAAGTTACCTAGAACAAGCCAAATTGTAAAGTTTGAGGCATGGTCTTTGAGTCCGCCAATTGTCCCAAGACTTCCGACACCAACTCTGAGGAGTTAGGGTCCAACTATAGTGTTAGAAGGAAGGGTCCACATGAAGCCACGCTACCTTCTCTCATCGACTACATTGTTAGGAAGATTCTTGAAACTCACTGAAAACTATTGGACTCATGATTGTGGCTTATTACAGGAGAAATACAGGTAAGAAATCAACCAAAGGAAGAGGTACATAGAGCAGAGATTGGGGTGTGGATGTTTCCAAATGCAAAGCTCCTGTCATCTTCATGATGTATTACTCTGGAGCATGGATGTGTGATGATATACCTGGACTACTGCTTACTAGGAAACTTTGCCTAGTTTTCATTAGTGCTCCATTCCATGTGCATGATTGACTGACTGCCCATGTGATTGACGCAAAGCACCTGCCCCAAGTCACATGGTTGTTCTTTCTGGTGTGTTCATCCTTTACCCTAAGACTATCACATGTGTCTGGCCCCATCCTAAAGTTTATGTGGCCAGCCCCAGCCCTAAACAAAGACATTTCTATGAAGTAAGATATGGATTTACTTCCTAGAAGCTAAGGGCAAAAGCCGGACCTCAATTTGGGCGAAGCCAAATTCTTTACTACATAGAAGTGAAGTACCTTATTTCCAAGAAGAAGCTTTAAATATCATGATGGGATTTGGACCATCTCTCCCCCTGTTCTGCCACATGGCCAGCAATAATCCAGATAAATCAACCTGGTTCTGGAGCGAACATGGTGTGAAACTGAGTTCCAGCTAGCCTACTATAACATAAATAAGGAATAAACATGGTGTTTTTGAGCCTCTGAGATTTTGGAGCTGTTACCATGGCATAATTTCTAGGTGAAATCAGCTAATGAAGCATTTAGCACCTGCCTCTCTCTTTTTCTGATGGACAGGCATTGCAGAAGTTTAAGCTTCAAGTCTTTAGTGGTGAGTAGGTCAAACAATATATATTTCTTTGAGGCCTTTCCAGACCTCTGACCATGTGATTCTAGCTTATCCACTGGTAATAGGGGTGGTTAGTACTTCAAGGAGGAAGGACGGAAGCCTTGCCATATTCTCCACTCCAGCTTTCAAAATAATAAATGTCATCAGGTATTTTGATCCTTCACCTACCTCCTTCCCTGGGCTCCTGGTACCTACCTTTCTTTAAATTCTGAAGAACCAAGAAAGGGAAAGAGGATGCTTAACAATTCCAATTGCTGCTGTCAGTACTTGCTGGTGGGCAGAACTGGGGAAGGTAGCTATTGATAGTTCAAATAGAGCTCACTGTTAGTCCATTTTTAATATATACTACTGTTCTGAGATCACAAAATGCACAATAATCTGCTTGCCATTGAAGCAGACATGAAGGAGCTAGTGGGGAAAGAATAAACATTTTGCTTTAATCAATTGGGTCATTTTCTAGAATGGATTTAGTTAATAGACGAGGCAGTTGGTGTTTTCAATGAATCTGAGGCTATCGGGTGCACAGGCAGGAAAGCCAGGAAGCAGCTGATGGACTGGCCTAGTGTAGCTGTCAAGAGGGCAAAAGAGGCCCTGAGAGAGGAGATGGAGTGGTGGGTGGTTCTGAAGAGGAGGCCAAGAGTCTATATTTGATCTAGGAGGTAAAAGGACAAAGTGGTTGAAGCAGTTCACATAAGAATTAATTTCCAGGGAAACAGGATACTTACCAAATTGTCTCTTTTCCTGAATTGACAGATATGATAGGAACGAAAGTAATACATCTCAAAGGATGAGCAGTTTATTCCCAGGGGTACTTTATTTACTGAAAAGTAAATCTCACTGAGAACCCAGTTGGAAATATCTTTTCATTTACTATGCTCTCTGCCTGCCTTGCCTTTAATAGAAAACAAGCCAGGAATGTCCTCAAATAAAACTAAAGACCATACAGGCACTAGTGGGTTCTACAAGAACATTTATAACAATAATCGCAGACAGAGGATCATTCTTTCAGGGATTGTGGTTCCCAGGCCTTCTTGTTCAAGGAGAACAGAGTAATACTGTGTAGCACCAAGTCAGATACCTCCTATAAAATTCATATGGCCAACTGGGGCTTGAAGGAAAGGAAATATGGACATCAAGAAAATATTCAAGGGCAGAATTTGTTTCTAAGGGGTAAGAAGATTTTACAGGAAATACTTTGGACAATTTATTTAACTACCAAATATCTTCAATTTACTTCTTTATTTTATTTTTTACTTTTTGGTACCAGAGATTTAACCCAGGGATGCTTAACCAATGAGCCATATCCCCAGCCTTTCTATATTTTTTATTTTGAGACATAATCTTGTTAAATTACTGAGGGCCTCACTAAGTTGCTGTGGCTGGCTTTGAACTTGAGATCCTCCAGCCTTAGCCTCCCAAACTGCTGGGCTTACAGGTGTGCACCACCATTCCTGACTCAATTTAATTCTTCACTTTTCCTCTTTCTATAGCACCAAACCCTCTTCAGAAACCCCAGTCACTTTCCTTGAGCAAATATTGAACTGCTTCTAGGAGCATGTGATGACCTTTCTTGAAACTAGCCGAGGAATGACAATGTCAAAGGCAGAAGGTCTATTATCTCAGTCTTTTTTCTTCTGCTAGAACAAAATATCTGAAGCTGAATTATTGTAAGTAAAAGAGGTTTATTTATTGCAATTCTGGAGATCCAAGAACATGCTGTTGATATCAGCTCAGCTCTGGTGAGGGCATTTTGGTTGCACTTCAAAATGGTGGATGGTTTCATGACTAGAGTGCACGAGAGAGGAAGGGATCACATGGTGAGACAGGAAGCAAGAGATGGAGCCACAAAAAATGAGCTTGCTTTATAGCAAACCACTCTCACAGGAACTAATTCACTTCTATGAGACCTGACCTAAGACCTGACTTGTTCCTGTGAGAGCATTAATCCATTCATGAGAAGGGAGCCCCCATAACCTGATTAACTTTCACTAGGTCCTACCTGTCCAAAGTTCTGTTATCTCTCAATATTGCCATACTGGGCCAGGCGCAATGGCGTACACCTGTAATCCCAGCGGCTCAGGAGGCTAAGGCAGGAGGATTGTGAGTTCAAAGCCAGCCTCAGCAAAAGTGAGGTGCTAAGCAACTCAGCAAGACCCTACCTCTAAATAGAATATAAAAAATAGGACTGGGGATGTGGATCAGTGGTTGAGTGTCCCTGAGTTCAATCTCCAGCACCAAAAAAAAAAAAAAAAAAAAATTGCCAAACTGGGGAACAAATTTATAGTATGTGAAACTTTGATGGGACATATCCAAATGATATCCAAATGTGTTAGCTTTCCATTGCTATGACAAAATACTTGAGAAAATCAACTTAGAAGAGGAAGATTTATTCTGCTTCATGCTTTCAGTCAATGGTTGGCTGGCTTCATTGCTCTGGGCCTGTGTTATAGCAGAACATCATGGTAGAGGGGAATGTTGGAGGAAAGCTGCTCACACCACAGCTGCAGGGGGGATGGAGAGTGGGGGAGGGAGATAAGATACCATTCACAAGGGCACATCCTTTCGACTAGGTCCTACTAGATCACTGGTGGGAGTGAATGCTTGTGTTACATACTTCCCTTTCTTCTTTAGCATCATCTCTGTGAGGAGAGAGGCCCTGGAGAAGTGGAACAGCGGATGGGATGGCTTTGATGTGTAAGATAAGATCTGAAATGTGGATAAATTACAGTTGGAGCCCAGTGGGGATGATGGAAGACCCTGGTCAAGCACAGGGTGGTGTGAAGACAGGTATGTGTGTGAATCTTTGTGGGGAATATGGAAGGAGGAGGAAGGGTGATAAATGAAAAGAACAGTGCTGTGAGATTTGAAGACCTGTTTTCTATTTCACAATTTTTAAATTTCTCATCTGGCAGTACCACTTATCTTTGGCCATACCATCTTAATATTTGAGTTTTACCTGTAGTGGTTCCTTCAGGATTTATATATTTTATATATACATAATTTTATAAACTTTGTTTTTAGGGCAATTTTAGATTCATAGAAAAGTTGAGCCACTGGTAGAAATTCCAATATCTACCCCCCCGATTTCACTTTCCCCTGTTAGTTATTGCATTAAAATGGTGAAGTGTTTTTTTTTTTTAATCAGTGAAACAATATTGATATAGTGTGAGCTGACAGTCATAGTTCATATTAAGTTTCACTCTGTTGTATACTTCTGTGAGTGTTGGCAAATGTACAATGTCATTTATCTAGTGTTATAGTAGCATCCAAAGCAGTTTCACTGCCTCAACAATCTCTGTGTCCTCCCCCAGGATTCAATTTTATTTTAATTTAGTAGCTAATGGAAGCGTCAATTAAGTGTACATCTGTACATGTGAGACATGAATATGTACATCTATAATTTTACATGTGCCCCCCCCCATCTTTATTTAAGTGACACCAGTTTCTTCTGGTTGCTTTTAAACTATTTCCAATAAAATAAGAGGCTGCATGTATGTAAAACCTTTACACTTTTACCTTGTGTCTGAGGTGTTTTCTTTAACAAGACAATGCAACAGTATTATCATCTATCATTAAACCCATACAGTGTCAAACTTATCACCTTGGCACTTTTATGATCCTTAAGATGTCCTTGTAAAGGCTGGATGTCATGGTAACCAGTGTTATAGATCAGGATCTAACACTGCTGAACATCTCTTAATAAATCAGGCATAATTGGCATATATGCATTAGAATGAATTAAGAGTTATTCAACTGGAATGATTTTATATTGGGCAACATTAAGTCATTAAATTTGCTTGTCCTGATCTTCCTTCGCTGAGTCTTGGTATACTTATTTGACTTAGAATAAAACCTTACCTTTTAATATCCTGCTTTTAAGAAGCAGATATTTGTGCATAGTGTGTTATAAAACAACTCATTGCATTGTTTACATTTTTGCTTTTGACTGTTAAATTCAAATTCTGGTGGGTTCAGGTCAGAGAGGAAATGAATTACAAGACTTTCTTTCTATACTTCAGTGGACTAAAGATGCTTGTCTGGTACATCAACATACCTAGCTACTCTGGAGTCATAAGGAAGGTAACTGCATGGGCTAGAGTATATGTGCTGGAAATAGTTAATCCACTCACCATGCTCTCGTATTATCTATTTGGTCATCTCCAAATCTTGGATGGAGCCAGAAAGAACTAATTATTAGGAAAGCCAGCAAAAAAGAAATGTAGGAAGGGGCAGATAGCAGAGTGAGTTGTTACTTAGGGTAATTAGCAGAGTAGCAGATCCATCTTCTAGGAGCTTGTTAGAAATTCAAATCTCAGGCTTCTCACCCAAATGAACAGATCAGGACGTTTAAAAACCATGATACCCAAGTGAACAGTGTGTATGGTGAAGATTGGAAAGCACTGGCTTGGTGGTTAAGTGTGTACACATTGGAGAAAGAAGGATATGGGTTTAAATTATGACTTCATTGATTTCTGATGGAATTGGGAAAGTTACTTAGTTTCAGTTTCTTGATCTTGTAACATGGCAATCATAATGTACTTACTTCTTAGGAGCATAATGTCACAATGTATATAGAGTGTCTAGCACAGTGCCTCATACATAGAAGGGCTCTTGTGAGCTGTAACTAAAACTGGTAGGAGAATGAGTATATTCGGGCAATGTAAATGAGAGAATAAACCCCAGCTGGAAAATGTGGAGTGGTATCTGAGTCAAATTCAGTAAGAAATTTTATTACTGTATTTTGTGTGGCTATAATAAAATACCTGAGGCTGGGTAACTTCTAAACAAAAAAAGTTTAGTTAGCGGCTGAACCTACAATATTGGGTGACCCCATCTGTTTGGCCTGTGGTGAAGGCCTTCTGTTTGCATCACAACATGACAGATGGCATCATGGTTGGGTGCCTGTGCAAGAGTCATGCATGTGAAAGAGGAATTCGAGGGGAGGTGCCAGGCTCCCTTCTAAAAACCCATTCTCGCAGGGTGTTGTGGCGCACGCCTGTAATCTTAGCAGCTTGGGAAGCTGAGGCAGAGGATTGAGAGTTCAAAGCCGGCCTTAGCAAAAGCAAGGCTCTAAGCAATTCAGTGAGACTCTGTCTCTAAATAAACTACAAAATAGGGCTGGGGATGTGGCTCAGTGGTTGAGTGCCCCTGAGTTCAATTCCTGATACTCTAAAACAAAACAAAACAAAACAAACGAACAAAAAAACCCCCAAACCAAACCAAAACCATTGTCATGGGAACTAATCTAGTCCCGTAAATATACATAAAATCCCTTCTAGGATAGAGCCATTGTGACCTAATTACCTTATTACCTTGCCCTAGACCCCACATCTTCAAGGTCCCACCACCTCAACACTGCCACACTGTGGACCCAGTTTCCAGCACATGTAACTGAGGGATGTACTCAAAACATATCCAAACCATACAGAAATGGTGAACACCCTTAGAACTTAGGAAGTTCCCAGAGATTCCAGACAGTACAACCAAACTTCCCAGGGGGTTTATGCAGCGAGGATCCACCCCACCAATACAGTTCAGCTTTAGTAGTTACATATTTTAAAACATTCTAGGTATTCAGGAATTGAGTACCATTGTCTCAGCAGGTTTCACAAAGGAAGAATCAGGTAAATGAGGAGGTGAGAAAGGAACCATCCCACACAAGACTCACAGGAGGTCATGCTGGAGAGGAACCTTGGAGGCTTTCTACTTCAAATATTCATTTGATGTCTCAGTTCCCACCAAATTGTTGTTCAGCCTATGGCTGAATTCCATCTGTAGTCACTGAGCGCTTCTCCTGAGTTAACTGAGAGGTAGCTGCTGTGTGTGGGCTTAGAAGTGTTTTGGAGGCCAGATGACTCAGAAGTTTGGTGTCGGGCACACAGACAAAAACAATTGGAAAATTTCAAACAGATTCTCCATGTTTGTAACAATATTTATTGAAGTTCCAATGAACAGTATTGACTATTTTACAGGCATCAGGTTAACTGCTGGGGATAAAAAAATATACCTAAGACATAGAACTCACACTTTGGTTGAGTTTATAATCTAGATAAATGGCAGGCATATACATAATCATTGTAATATCATGTATTAATGGCAATAATAGAAGACTGAAAAAATAGGTTCAGAGAAGCAGAGACATAGACCATTAATTCTGTTGGAGCATGTTGGACATTTGTTAAGAAATGTTTGTTTTTAAGAAATGTTTTCATTAGTGCATTATGGTTACTCATAATAGTGGGGTTCGTTTTTACATAATCAAACATGCATGGAATATATTTTGTTCCATTTCAGTCGCCATTACTTCCTCTTTCCCTCTCTATGGTCCTCTTCCTCTACTTTACTGGTCTTCCTTCTTTTTGTTTTTATTGTTTTTTAAATTGGTGCTTTATAGATGTACATAAATGTGATATTTACATAGCACAATTTGGTCAACTTCATTCTGCATTTACTCACTTTTCCCATTCACTCACTCTATCCCCTTCCTCAACTTCACTGATCTCCCTTCCATTGTTTTTTCTTTTCTTTTCTTTTTTTGTTTTTGTTTTGTTTTGTTTTTGTTTTGTTTTGTTTTGGTCCTGGGGATTGAACTCAGGGGCACTCAACCACTGAGCCACATCCCCAGCCCTATTTTGTCTCACTGAGGTGCTTAATGCCTCACTTTTCCTGAGGCAGGTTTTGAACTTGCAATCCTCCTGCCTCAGCCTCCTGAGCTGCTGGGATTACAGGCATGTGCTACAATATCTGGCCCTTCCATTTTCATGGCACCTACCTCACCCCTCCTTTGTTTTTGCTCTGGCTTCTGCATATCAGAGAAAACATTTGATCCTTGATTTTCTGAGTCTGGCTTACTTCATTTAGCATGATGTTCTCTAGTTCCATCTATTTACCAGCAAATGCTGAAGTTTCATTCTTCTTTATGACTGAATAAAACTCTATTGTATCTGTATAAGTACACATATACATATACACCACATTTTATTTATCCATTCATCTGTTGATGGGCACTGGGGCTGGCTTCATAACTTGGTTATTGTGAATTGTGTTGCTAAAAACATAGATATGGCTGTATCACAATGGTATGAGGACTTTAGTTCTTTTGGGCAAATACCAAGGAGTAGGGTGGTTGGATCATATGGTGGTTCCATTCTTAGTCTTTTGAGGACTGCTTTCTAAAGTGGTTGTGCTGATTTGTAGTCCCACCAACAATGTATGACTGTAGTTTTTCCCACATCTTCACCAGCATTTATTATTATTTATATTCTTGATGATTGCCATTCTAACTGCAGTGAAATGAAATCTCAATGTAGTTTTGATTTTCATTTCCCTGATTGCTAGAGATATTGAACAATTTTTTCATATATTTGTTGGGCATTTGTATTTCTTCTTTCAAGAAATGTCTGTTTAGTTCTTTTGCCCTTTTATTGATTGGACTACTTGGGGTTCTTTTGTGTGTTGTTTTTATTTCTTTTTATATTCTGGATATTGGTTCCTTGTTGGAGAAATAGCTGGCAAAATTTTTCTCCCATTCTATAGGCCCTCTCTTTGTACCCTTAATTGTTTCTTTTGCTGTGCAAAAGCTTTTTAATTTAATTCCAACCCACTTATTAATTCTTGGTTTTATTTCTTGAGCTTTAGGGGTCTTGTGGAGGAAATTAGTTTCTACACAAATATGGTAGAGTGTTGACCCTATATTTTCTTCTAGCAGCTACAAAGTTTCTGATCCAATTCTTATCTTTGAACCACTTTGGTTTGACTTTTATGCAGTATTTGAGAGATACAAATCTAGTTTCATTCTTCTACATATGAATATTGACTGTATCTATGTGAGTTTGTTCCTGTGTCTTCTTTTCTAATCCGTTGACCGTCTTCTGCTGTTTTTGTTACTATAGCTCTGTACAATTTGAGCTTAGGAACTGTGATGCTTCCATTATTGCTCTTCTTGTTTGGTGTTGCTTTGGCTATTCTTCTATTCTTCTTAATACATTTTTAGGACTGTTTTTATTTTTCCTAGATCTGGAAGAGTGTCCTTGGCATTTTGATGGGAGTTGTATCAAATCTATATAATGCTTTTGGTAGTATGGCCATTTTGACAATATTACTTCTGCCTATCCAAGAACATGGGAGGTCTTTCCATCTTCTAAGGTAAGAAAATGGTTTTTAAACCTGATTGTAAGATATTAGTATTTGCTGAATAAATGTGTGGGCACACGAATTGTGTGCGTGTGCTCCTAAGGGATCGTAGCTGATGTCCAGTATATTTCAGTTCTGAGGTGGGCTACTTCTCTATCCCTCTTCCTTTGTTAGGTGAAGTTGGAAATATTACTTCTCATTTATGAACCTCAAATTGAAACAAGGGCACTTTTAGTGTTTTCCAATAAATAATACTGCTTTGCAAATTCTGCTTTAATAAATTCAATGTGTGATGATAGAAATTTATGAACACAAATAAGGTTGATATACACATAAAATCATTCTTTACTTCATGGAATTTATTTTCGGAATGTTTACAGCTTCTCTTTAGAGCATTTCAAATGTAATTTGACATGAAATTTTTTCTTTTATCTTGCTTTTACATATACATCAATTTAAATGATAAGGATCATAAAAATAAATGTTAGAAGTAATTTCCTTATTATTCCTGTTTTTCCTTAAATAATTTGTGTTGGGAATGTATAGATCATAGAAGCAATGAGATATATATTATATTTTTTAAATCTTAAGGTATTCCTCAGGTATTCCTTCTTTGGAACATCCATCCATCCTCCCAAGTCACTAATGAATCTATCTACTCTAAGCCAAGAGTTATTAATTTTCTTCCTATAGATGTAGTGACATTGAGCACAACTAAATAAAAAAAATCAATCTCAAGAATTGAACAGTCTAAAGTATTTTCTAGTTTTTAAATTATTTTTAAAAATAAAATTTGGATATAACTCTCTCTCTCTCTCTCTCTCTCTCTCTTTCTCTCTCTCTCTCTCTCTCTCTCTCTCTCTCTATATATATATATATATATATATATATAAAATACACTATCCATGTGTATATAAAATACATCATATATATATATGAATACACCGTAGTGAATCTTTACATCATGTACAGCCACAAGACTGGGATCCTATTTAGAATAAATTATACTCCATGTAGGTATAATATGTCAAAATACACTCTACTGTCATGTTATCTAAAAAGAACAAATACAAAATTAATTTAAAAAATAAAATTTGAATTTTATACCTTTAGTGAATCATCAGGTAACTCAAGAGATTATTTCTTTGCAATAATTTTTAGAAAGAAATTTGAATTTCACTGTTTTCCTAAAATGAAATGAATGTTACCCTCCAATATTTCAAATATCCATGAATTATCATTCAATACACTTGATACTTGGACTTTTAAATATTTTGTAATTTATTTGATACATTTCACCATGCTTACCTAAGACAAACTTCTAAATATCTGAACACTTTTAAGAATGTCTTTAGCTTCTTGGACATCAACCTGGTATGAAACAGCAGTTTGTTGCAAATGGTGTAGATGAATTAGAAACAGATGGATTCTATTTCTATGAATAAATATAATTAAAGAGTTAAAATCTTGGAGAAAAAACTATACGTGCTAAAACCAAATGGTTGAATACATAGTTGGGAGTTTGACTAACATTAGCTAGGTTGGGATTCCTTTCCCCACCCATATCAAAGTGTCTTTTGGGTTACTCTTCACTGTGTATCTTTGTCTGGAAGGTATTTATGACTAAGTTGGACTGATCAATCAGAGTTAGACTACCTGCTGTGCACAGGAAAGGATCCCTGCTGTCATTCCATCAAAGCTTAGACCTACAGGTATGGCAGCTAGTAATCATGTTACCATCCCTAGTTCCTGTTCCTGCTCTAAGTGTCCACTTGTTATAGCCAATAGTTGCTTCCACTGTACCCCAGGAGCTGACATTATTGAGCCACACTAAGGGTTTGCTCATTTAGATGGGACCAATAAGCAGGATTCACAAATAGATCTGATATTTGATATCCAGAAGAGGGCAGTAGGACACAGAGATTAAAATCCGTGCAACTAGACACTGTGACTAACAAAGGTTGCTAACAGCTATTCAGTGTTAGATCAAACCCATCCCTTCCCTTTGGCATACCACGGGCATTCTGGAGTAGTGAAGGAAAAAAAAAAGAAAGAAAGAAAAGAAACTAATACATGCTGAGCACCTATGATGTGTGAAGCACTAACCAGGTGTTTCTCACATGTGTAAATCATGGCAGTCCTGAGTTGTAGGTATTATATTATTCCCATTCACATTGATGAGAAAAATCAATGTTCAGAGGGTGGAAGCAACTTGCCTGAAATCACACAGCAAGTTGTGGAACCAAAATTAAAATCCAAATTTGATCCCAAAAGCTCTGCTCAACCATATCAGAATCAGAGTTTGATGACTGGTCCTCTCCCTTCTACACTTGTTGACCTTGGGGAAGTAACTTAACCATTCAGTACTTCAGTTTCTGAATCAGTAAAGAAAAACTAACAATATTCTCTGATTCTTTAGGAGTTAGTCTCTGGATCAATTTCTCCATGATCAGCTCTGGCCAAGAGGATAGACTTTCTCTTTGGGTAATATTCTAAATCAGAATAAAAATCAGAGAAAATTAATTCTAGAAGGAACACAAGAGAGAGGTTGCCCAATACTTTCTTCTGAAATACACAATGCCTAGAGTGTTCAAATAATTTAAAACTTGAGAGGGACAGACACTAGAACTCAGGATTGACATTTTTTTTATCCGATTTACTTTTATTTGCCTCTCTGCATCATTTGCTGGGGATACAGATGTGCAGATGTTGATGATGCTATTGATGAGGGTGAGATTGACAATCAACGTGCCTGAGGAAATCATAGAGGGATTACTTCATTTTAGAAGGAATTCATTTTATTAGGAAGCCCTTTTTCCTTTGCTCTGTTCAACACAGAGACCAGAAAAGAAAAACATGATTTGTCTACCAAGTCCGACGGTTGACACGAAGGCAGGAAAGGTCAGGGTATGCACATTTAAGATATTGTTCAAGAGAGAAATGCTAAAATGCAGACTTCAATCAGTGCTAATCTTAGATTTATATGATTCTGTCCTTATCAGTCAATATAACTGACTTTCTCAAGGATCTGTAATGGAGAGGCTGCCTCCTTCAAAGCAATGCAAGATACTTATTTAATGTAGCGGTGCCTCCTTGGAGAGATTTTTAGGTAACCAGCCATAGTTCATTCCATTTATTCTAACTTCTTCCTTCATGAATTTGGCATAATTTTTCTAGTCCTCAAAGTCTTACATTCACGAGGAATTGTATGAAAGAAAGAGAATAGAGTGAAATAAAGAAGGACAGGGAGGGAGGGAGAAATGCCTTAGTCTTCAGCTCCAAGGGACTGAGATGCCAAGGCACCTTGTTTCTGTGTTTGAAGAATCCCCCAGGTTCCACTGGCCTGTGGATTCATGGACCACAGTTAGGAAAGCTGATAATCAGGTGCATGATTATAAGTAGCTTTTTACTTTTAAATGGTAATACTTTTAAAAGTATTTGCAATAAATAAAACTGGTTTTACTAATTCAGCCAAAGGTGTCTTTCTGTGTTAAAAATTGTCTGAAAATGAAGATTTCTAATACTTTAAGTGATCTATCCCTTTGCTCACCTTGGGGCTTTCCCACATCCCATGCTTTCCTCTTATTCTGCAAGTCCTCTTGGATCTTCCTTTCCCTGAAAGTGCCAGAACTTCTCGGGGGTCTGGAGAAGGTGGCTCACGTGGTGATCCATGGATATGTGTTCTGTGTGTGTACTCGCAGGGCCATTCTGGAGACTGAGGGAAAGGACAGATGTCCTTGCTTCTGGACTCATTTCCTGAACATCTGCCTCATTCGTTCACAATTAGTCACAAGTCAAAGCCTGTTCCAGCTTTTTGTTATCACTGGCCAAATTTTGTGTTTTATTTGTGTCTTGTGGTTCAATGCCTGTCTCCGTTCCAAGTATACCCAACCTGAACTCACACCCAGCACCCAGAACGGCACCCAGAACACAGGGTTGTGATAGCACTTGTTAATCATCTCAAATGGTGCTCTGTACAGGACAAAACTTCAGATTTTGCTCTATCTATATGGACTGATTAGGAAAATAGATTTTGAGATGTGAAATATAAAGAAATAAGGAACAAAAAGTGGGTGGGATGGTAATGGCACCTGATCTCTCAGAGTGCAGAGTTTAGCATCTTAACAAACCTGACAGTACTTCCCGAGGGCTGAAATTGCCTCTGGATGGGGGCACAGGGTAGCTAAGGCTGAGGGGTCTGGGAGGTGATTGGCTCTGGAGACTAGAGCCTTCCCATTCTCCATCATCTATAGAACCTGTTGTCTTGGAATACTATTATTTCAGCATGATAGGTGTTTCATGCAAGTTGTAGTAATTTGGTCTCCTATAGCATTCCTGGAAGGAATGATAGGCTATACACACACACACACACACACACAATTTTTTACTAAAAATACTGTGACCAATAGAGATATTATAATTTTGGGTGTTAGAATAGCCAGGGAAAATAACAGATAATATAATTTGAGAGTGAAATGGTCTCAACAAACATTAAATGCTTGCATTTAATGATGAATGCTATGATAACAAATTAGGGCTGTTGCTTCTTAAAGCATGGTCAGTCATATAAAAGGTTAACATGGCCAGTAGCGTTTAATACAGATTATTGGTGTGTTGAGTTATGAGAAGAACAAAGGTCTGACTTTGCCATTTGTACAATAGGTCCAATGATGGATACTCAGAATATCTTGTATCTCATCACATCACTCTGTAACACCACTATCACTTTTATCATAAAAGAATTATGTTACTCCATATATGAAAAATGCATTCTTGAACCGCCGTGAATTAGTTTTTAATGTACTGTGACCTTGGATTGCCCTGGGATATTAATGCTAAATGATTACTTCTGAATGCTTTTTGAATAGCTGCATAGTGCAATTAAATGTGCCATCCATCATGGATGACAGAGCCAGACGTCTCTTCTGGTCAAGGAACCCAAAGAGGTCTTGAGAAGGATGGTGATTCTGCACTGCTGAGGAGGGCAGAGAAAGGAATCTCCTGTTAGTGGT